TGTCTGGAAATGATATTTACCCTCCTAAGTTCCCCATTAACATGAGCCAATTTCTTCTTCGCTAAAATTAGTTTTAATTTGATATCCATCATTTGCTTTAAAAAGGTCCTATCTGCATGGAAGAGAGGATCTAATTATCTGTTGTAAAAAATAAATTTTATTGTTTAATTTTGAGGCATGCAAATGATGTATGAGGTACGTATAGATAGTAAAATGGTTATTATGGTGAGATTTTCTTTTCCTTTTTTTTGTATTTAGTACAGAGTGTACAGCCTAGGTTGTACAGGGTCTCACTGTGTAGATCAAACTTGTAGTAATCCTCCTGTTTACAGCCTCCCAAGTTCTGGGATTACAGGCATGTGCCACCATGCCCGGCCTTAATTGCCATCTCAGCACGCTCCAGGGGCAAGGCTGGCATGGCAGGCCTGCGGATTGAACTCCTGGCCCCTACAGCTTTTCTTTTTGTAAGCAAATCTACACTGTAACATTGTACATGAATAGTGCTGAAATTTTTCACATGTAATGATTTTTTTAGCACCTTACTCTAACAAATATAGTGTTATGTCCATGTTAAAATGAAGAAACACTCTTCAGAGAGTGTTATAACTTGAGATGCAGTCAAGCTGTTTTTCTTACTGTTCAGATGCAAATCACTTGGCTTCTTTTTAATATTAATATTTTTAGCAACCATGTCAGGGCCCCAACTTCACAGTTGTTTCTAAAATCTTTTAGCTCTGTTTCTCATTGTTGATCTGGCAAAAGGAGCCGGCCATAGAACAAATTTTGAACTGTCTTGAAATTTCCCCCACTGGATTAATTGGCCTACCATCATTATTCTCAGATTCCCACAGAGTTTCAGCATTTTAGGACATGGGCAATTTGCAAACTTTTTTCCAGAGTGTAACAGCCATGGCTTCTTTTTCCCATGTAATCCTACTCATATCTGAATCCTCATGAGCATGGCCTTTACTGTCCACATTCCTATTACTGTTGTGGCTTTTCTCAGAACAGATTTTGATGAGAATCTCATTGATTTCTACTTATAGTATTCTAAAGTTTCTCTATCCACTTTCCCAAATGCTTCTTGTAAACTAGTTCCAAAGGCTTCTAAACCCATATAGTCTGGTACAGAAGAGTAATGACCTCAGTCCTAGTATCAACTTTTGTATTAGTTAGATTTTCTATCACTTGGACAAAATACCCAACACCTACAATTTATTTATTTATTTTTATGTATTTAGTATAGGGTGTACAGGATCTACAGGGTTTCACTATGTAGATTGGACTCATAGTGATCCTCTTTTTTATGGCCTCCCAAGTGCTGGGATTACAGGCATGTACCACCATGCCCAGTCTCAACTGCTGTCTAAGCATGCTCCGGGGGTGGGGCCAGCATAACAGGTCTGGGGATCGAACCTGTGGCCCCTGCGTCTGTCTAAGCAGGTACTTTAATCTGCTGAGCTATCTGGTCGGCCCTCATAATACCTACAACTTACAGAAGGGGAGATTTACTTTGGCTCATACTTTCAGCAGTTTAGTCTTTAATGAGGTGGCTGCAAGCCAGAAATGGCATGGTGGAAATGTATGGAGAAGAAAGCTGCACACCATGGTGTCCAGGAAACATGAAAGAAGGAAGAAGCCAAGCACAAGAATTCCGAGGAGAAAAACATTAATCCCACTGATTGACTGAATGGCTCCTTAAAGTCCTTATCCCCCATGACCTCCACAGTGAACTTGAGTTTCAGAGGGTCAAACCATGTTCAAATGATAGCACTACATGCCCCATGAGGGAGGAGGCTCAGGGTGGGTCTCCTCGGTGGGATTCTGCAAAGTGCAAGTCAAGTGACGTCAGCTCTCCTGCAGCCCTAGAAGCTTTCTGATGGAACAGCAAGTAAACTGGTGATGGAAATTAATAGTTGTGGAAGGGCACGGAGCAAAACTGAAGTTACAGTCTACTTTGTCCTTTCATCTTACTTTTTTTTTGCATCAGGAATTGAACTCAAGACCTTGTGCTTCCCAGGCAGGTTCTTGAGCTATCTCCCTGGTCCTTGTTTTACTTTTTATGTGATTTAATTTTAGGTGCACCTTCTGCATTTAGCATATAGCTAGATTTCCTTTAGTTTTCAATAATGTTCATTTATATTTATTATAATTGTCGGCATATTTGAACATAGTTCTACCACCTTCTTTTTTTGTTTTTTCTTTTTATTTCTCTTTCTCTGGAAATGATGGATTATTCTTTAATATTTTTCCTTCCCCTTGTTTGGAAACTTGAGGCTATTCTCTGTCTCTCTGCTTCTCTCTCTCTCTCTCTCTCTCTCTCTCTCTCTCT